CCCGCGAAATTCTAATATCAAACTTTATTCTTTTGATTGGAAATTTAGTTCTTTTCGCGTAACATAATTATAACTGTAATTATCTTTTTTATGAAGCCGACTTTTCGGTTAATTTTTCAGTTTATTATTTTATATTTGTAAATATTTATTTTTATACAATATTTATCACAACATTTCGATTACGTCAACAAATATAAACGAATTAAATGAGTAAGGAACCGCAAAAGTTGAGGCTAGGTATTGCTTAGTAATATTTCTATGTAAATTTCAAATATATCTTTCAGTTATGTAAACTGCTGCGATTATTTTTTAATACAAACGAACTGAAATAATAATCTTACAACTTAAATTGATCGTTTGTTCGATAGAAATGCTGTTAGCATCTTAAAATTCTGTAAAGAACTTATAAATGTAAATCAACAAGTTAACGCAAATTTGATTTCGCGAGAAACAATTAAATTATTAGTATTGTAACTTAATAATAAGTTAAATATGGAACTACTAGTTCGTGAGAGTACGCAATTGCTATTTTTGAAACGAAATTGCAGTATTTTCCGGCTCTTCTATGCAGCAGAATGGGGATAAGAGAGGTGGCGGAGGAGGGGGAAGAGGGAGGGGGGCGGGGGAAGAACATGGGTTTATCAAACTGTTATATTTCGCTATCCTTGCTATACAGTAACTATGTTTCTGCCACGCACGTCGCTTCTGTACGGAAGCTATGGGGGCGTAGTGTGTGCAGTCTATGCACTCGACGAAGTTTACTCGCCGCACTGCAGTGGTAACGACTCGTCGGCGTTGCTGCTGCGTGCCTTCTCGCGTTGAGAATGGATTCTCCCCACCTGTCCGCTCTGAAATGATTTTCGAAGAGCCCCCGCGCGTAGCTTTGCCGCGCTCAACCATAGTCGCTTCCACCCACGCGTGTGCGCGCGCACGCACGCCCGCACACCGTCGTACCTCGACAGGTATCGCGATGATAGATAAGCCCCGCGTACGGCTTTTTTATTCATCCCCGTTGCTTCCGGTCCCTTCACGATTCCCTGGCAAACGGCCAGGATCGCAGCTCGTCCGAACCAGGACGCGCGGACTCTAAAGTTCGACGCGAGGCCCCGTTAGGCAGTACCCATTTTTAAATGAATTTTTTTTTGTTTCTCTCTCTCTCTCTCTCTCTCTCTCTCTCTTTCACGCGCGCTTTTTCTTTTCTTCTGTTTCTTTTTCCGCGCGGAACGTTCTGGTCGAATGAGGCTGCGCCGTGAAAGTTCGCGTATCCGCGCGTATTTTTTCAAGCGAATCCGTGATTTTTTTGGAAACACGATGTTTTCGTAATGATGATAAATAGACAAATATATAGATTGTTTAAATATACGATAACTTTCTTAAAAATTCATGTGCGGAATAGCAATGCAATGTATTAAGATGTGCGAGTATATTATACAACCTTAGCCATAAATATAAATCACCCTCAATTTATTGCATTTTTTTGGAAGAGGCGACAATGCAAGCCATAGAGAAACTAATAAAATTGTTGTAAAAATAAATATTATTTTTACAACAATTTTATTATTTTTCAGTCAAGCTGTTTTTTAATTTATTTTTTGTTAGGTATAGACGTTTTATGTCAGATTGTGGAAGTTCTTTATATTTATCGCTAGGACTGTAATTATTTCAGTGAAAGTTACGCTTTAAAGTAGAGAAGTGATTTATTAATGTTTTTTAATAAATTATTTAATTTTTTTAAATATTAAATATTTAATATTTTTTAACATTTTGTTTAATATTTTTTTAAGTAGATAAATTATTAAACACATAGGCCATCTTTCTTAAAATCTGTATACAGAATAGCAACGCAGTTATACATTTGTGTGTGACTGCATTACATAACCTTAGTCATAAAGCATTCTGAATTTATTGCACTTTTTTAGAAATGGTGATAATAAAAACTAAAGGAAAATTAACAAAATTTGTTATAAAAATAAATATTATTTTTTAATTAAATCGTTTTTATTTTTTGTTAAAACATTTTATGTAAATTTGAGAATCCTTTATATTTATATAGATAAGGCTGTAATTAATTTTAATTGAAGTTATGTTTTAAAATAAAGAAAAATGATTTATTAAGTTAAGTTTTGAATATTTTTCGGATTTATTTCCGTAATGTTGATAAATAGACAAATAGATAGATTGTTAAACATAAAACAATTGTCTTAATCCATATGTAGAATAATAATGCAACTTAAATATATTATAATTATTTTAGCTGAAATTATGCTTTAAAATAAAAAAAAGTATTATTAAGTGTCCTTTCAGTAAAATAAAATAGGAATTAAATGAAAATTTTGTTTCTTATCGCGGATGTATCTTGTATGACAAAGAATGATGATTGATCGTGGTGGAAAGTAATCATGTAAATCCAAGTAATCGATTTTCTTTCGCTTACCACGCGACACTTAGTGATCACGAAATTCTATCCAATTCGAAATGCTTTTAACTAATATTAGATGGAAATATTAGATGGAGTCACCGCTGCGACCGAATTCGCGATGCCTCGGATTTCGAAAGATTTGTCACCGACATATGTTAGCATCCTCAGGGAGAACAACTCGGGGGAAGATACAGAAACTTCTCGCTCACGGAAACATATGTAGTGCACGTTCGTCTGCGGAGAAAGAATTCTTTATGGACGCCTCGTAGAGGCTCGTATATTATCGCATAATCGTAAAGGCTTAAGCGCAATGCGGTCGGCTTCTCTCCACCAGAAAACTCGGGTCAGGTTGAAACTACGAACGTTGCGTTTTCTTTCCGACAGTCTTACCATCATCTTTTTCTCTCTTCGCCCCCTTCCCCCTCTGTCCCTCTTTTTCGTAGTATTTGCGTTATTCTTTGGCTCTCCACGGGAGGATTTCACGGACAGTTCGGTCGCACGTAAAAGATGAAACGCCACCGGGAGAAGCAGACAGCGGGACGAGGTCTCAAGGCAGGAAGCTGCTTGTGAATTTTTCAGACTACGATGAATTACCTCTGATAGCAAGTCCGGACGCAGAGCTGCACGGAGAACGAGAGTTCCTATAGTGATGGATGGGTAGATAGTTTGTGCAAATTGTAATAATTTGATGAGGTAGTGTGTCTGCATTATATATTTATCGTGATGAAATCAGTTGGAGCGGGTGGTGCGAAAGCAACTGAGTCCTAAGGCGATTGCTTCGAGCAAAATTCGACCGGTGAATAAATTTCATGAGAGTAGCTGCCGAGAATGCATTTCGAGGAAATCGAAAGAATTTTCTGATTTGCCATTTTCGCGATAGATCAATCTAATTTTATACTCTTTATAATAATTGTTTTTAAAATACAAGTTAAAATTTGCAGAAAATGATTTATTCGCGCGATTTTAGATCTATATTATTGTAATGATAAGATTAAAGAATTGGAATAAAAAAAATATATTGTAAGTCTCATATCGTATTAAAGGATAGGAAAAATAAAAATGTTTTTAGCAATAGCATTTATATCCGATGATTTATCACAAGTTACATCGTAATGTATAAAAAAAAATAACACGTTTTTGAAACTACAAGGAATTACGAACATCCGTTATTACAAGAATTAAGGTAAAATTAAAAAATTAATTTGTATTCAACACAAATTGCATATTATTGTAATAATAAAATTGAGGAAGTGAATAATATATGAGGTAATATATTGTTTTATATAGGACGTAAAAATAAAAATGTCTTTATTAATGTAACATCTATACAGTATTCATAAATTATACTAAATTGTACTATTAAATAATATAATAACAAAATAGTACGCTTTTGAAATTACAAGGGGGACACATTCATTGTTACTGCGAATTAATTTAAAAAATTAATTTGCGTCGCCAACTTTCTGTTAGTCTTGGATGCGTCAACAAATTACATAGCTGATTACTATTATAATGCGGAATGTATATTTGACAGAGGAAAATATGAGACAATTATATATGCATGTGCTTCTTTATATGATAAAAGATATCTGTACAAAGTGTTATTTCAGACTTTGAAATTGCATATTTCGAAGCACGTAAAGAAAGAGAAAAATTTTTTAGCATGATATATCTGTCTTCAGCTTTAAAGTTCTTGAAGATATGCAATTTTGGAATTTGAGATGAAACAGAGAAAATATTCAGTCTCAGAAGCTGGTCGCGGTTATGATATTGTATCATTCACGACAGGAAAATCCAGGATCTCATCATTATACTTTGCGTTTGGATGTACCATTTTCCTTTATATTTATGAAGACTAGCTTTCTCTCTCTCTCTCTCTCTCTCTCTCTCATTACGAAACATTTGCGGGCGAGATCTCTTTCGCGAGACATCCACGGCAGGACGTAATATCGCATCGCGACTACAAACGTGTATACATGCCTCGCATAACACGCGCGATATTACGCTGGATAAGAAAGCCTAGGGTTTTCATTTTGATTGTCATTGCTCGAAATGTCCTCTCCTCCCGCGATGACATCATTACGGTTGGAAACCAATCAACCAGGAATAACTAAATTTTTATTATATAATAGCTACACTCCAAAAACCATGGATGTGGATTTAACATGCAGTGTTTATACAACAACCAAGTTGGTATTGATATAAACAATATAATGTGACTTTAACATTACGGCTTTTAAATCCACATCATGTTGGTGATATTAACATGGTGAGAATTATATACATCGTGTGTTTAAAATTAAATCCATACCTATATTTTTAGAGTGCTTCTGCAGTTAGCTGTTTGTGTGATGTTTATCTTATATAACACAGATTTTCCAGGGATGTTTAAAGATATTCAGAAGATATTCTATATCCCAAGAGAATGTCCCTCGGATAAATTGTATCATATGGGATGATCTATGGTACGAGTAGTTAGCATTTTCGCATAATTCTTCGACGAGTGCGCGGAGTAATCCCATTTGTTTCCGTAGAATTAACGACTGATTAAGCTATCCTCGAGCGTATATTTCTGCCTCACCTGATAGTCCATGTAATTTCCATAGCCCATGTGGTTGCATGTGCAGGCGCATGCCTGAATGTGCCTCCGCATGTCGAGTTCGACCTCTTCGCCGCATACGCCTCTGCTCGTCGCCATCATCGTATCTCCCATGCAATAGCCGCCGGTGCAATACATTCTCGGGTCACTCTGATCCAGGTAACCCCCACCGGTGTCGTCGTATCCGAGCCCGCTGGCACACCTGGAATCCGAGGCGTATCCCACCCGGGACTGAGGACGTTCCTCATAGCCCAGTCTAGACTGGGACCGGTGGAATGTCGAGGATACATCCTGAAAGGAAAAGGAAAATGATCTTGCAACAAATCACTTAGTAGCGGAGAGTTCTAGATTCAAACTCCGGCTGAGGATATATTTTTCGCAATAAGTTTTTTGCAATATTCTTTTAAGGATGTTTATTAACATTGCTATTAAAATTAACAATCAATATAATTTATTATGTTATTTCCAGTTTTAATTTATGATCGCATTTTAAGTCTAACTAAACTGAATCGGGGCGCAAGTCATAGAACTAAAAAATGTATCTGCAAATTTGCATATGAATATTATTAAGCACCAAAATCCATTTCGAAAATAGAATTCTTTTTATGACTTAAATCATTTAGTCCTTCGCCTCGATCGCCAAAGTTAGCGATTGGCAACTCACAATTAGTGCAACTGATATAATATTACGATTCCTATCTCATAGCAAACTTTACTTCCGGAAATGTATTAGTTTTTTAATTATTCACGATTGAATGTTAATATTCACAGTAAATCAATTTTAGGTTTGCATTTCCGATATTTTATAATTCAAGATATATATATATATATATATATATATATATGTGTGTGTGTAATAATTTTACAGAAAGCTTAACTAAATTCACGTAATTTTATTAGGTTTTAAATTTGAATATTAATTTTAGATACGTAAATTTGGCAAAACTATTTTTAATAAACAAGTAATTTTATTTTTTATACGCGTGTTATTTTTTTACCGTAACTCGCAAACTTTCCTTTTGTGTCATATTCAAAATCGTACAAATATGATTTGTTAAACGATAAACAATGAGAATGTGTCAAATATGATTCTATGCTTGTTGGTTGGGATATTGTTGTATGTATGTATCAGTTAAAACGAATGGCATGTACCTTCTATGCATTGAATAGCAACTTTAATTGGCTTTTTTGTATACAAAATACTGACCGAAAATGATCTGAAAATAATACTGTTTTTGTTGAAACATTGCCGGGAAAAAGTCATGTAAATCGAGTTAAATTAACTGTTATCAATTATTATGTAAGTGATAAAAATTAATAAAAATAAAGAATGAAATGTAATTGTGATATTGAGCAGAAATCGAAGGAATATTAATTGCTTCTTAAAAAATAAATTATAAACTAACTTGTATCTTTATAAATGTATTTATAAAATTAATATTTCTAACTCTAATATATGGTAGAGTAGTATAAAACAAAATAGATTATTTAATTGAAGTATTCTTATGTTCCTACTGTATATGTATGTATTGGTCGAAAGCAATTCGGTTGATTAATCCGTCTTCGCAAACGAGATATCGTTCGCCAACCAGACATGCCAAGAATCTCTTGGAATATGAAGAAATTTAATATTCGAGACGTACGGCGAGCACTTAGAATTTGAAAAGAATCGTCTTAATGCAGCACACAAAGGCGGAATGCATTGGCGTGGGAATTGCAATTGCGTAAGGGAATGTATAACGTGCCACTCGCATCTGCGGATTAAATCTTTTCCATAACATGCGGAATTACTCACTTCGGTTTATACCCACGACAGTTTCTTTATTTACGCAACAAGGAGAAGGACTTGTGTGTTACGAATTGCATCGATTTGCAATAAGTAACGATTTATAACAAGAAAAGCATTTTGTGCGAAAATTCATTATAGGAAATATACCGGGTATTTCTCGATTGCCATAATTTTTTAAATACTTTCAATGGATTGACAACAAAGTGTTTTTAAAATTTATTGGTTTTTAATAAAGAATTTTTCAAATTTATTCATTTTTTTTTAAATCGAAATCAAATTATGGTTTTTTTTAACGAAATTTTGTCTCCCCATCATATTTTTGTAGCACACAATAAAGATGAATTTATAAAATATGAATTGATATTATGTATCATTTTATCTATTCGATCTCAAGATAATTTAATTAATACTTAGAACATAATCCACGAATCTATTGTCAATACGTAAAGTGCTGTAAATTTTAATTAAATTAAATTATCTTTAATTTTTAATTAAATTATCTTGAGATCAAATAATCAAAATGATGCATCATGCTATATAGATAAATTCGTCTTTTTATATATTACAATATAATAAGGAAAATATAGTTTCACTTAAAAAAAAAAACATGATTTCGAATTTTTATTAAAAAATTAAATTCTTTTTACGTAATTAATTTTTTATTAAAAATTAGCAAACTTTTGCCAGAAACATTTTGTTGTCAATTCAATGGAAATATATCAAAAACCGTGGCAATATGAGGAACACTTTGCATACAAGAGTAATGCGACAATTCACAATCGCTGAACGCCTATAAAAATGTTAAAGTAATAATTTTCGAATTATAAGCGACCATAGTTGGTCAGTGATTTGCACGCTCACACAGATTGAGATCTGCAATATTTCATTTACATTTGCTTAATCTGAATTCGGTTTTATATGATATAATCTGTAATCTTTTATCGAATTTAGCAAGTGATATTGCAATATTATATATACAGTTATACATACTAATTACTGCACATATTGTATTTTATTTTATCAATCCCTTTTTTCTCTTTGTGTCCGGATATTTGCGTATTAAAATTTGAAAACTCTGTCTGCAACTGATATAATCTGATAATTATAATACTATTAAAATATTACACAGTGATTGTGGGACATTCTGTATTTTCGTGTATTGTTTAAACATAAATTAATTGTTGAAAATCTTTTGCAAATCTATGACCCAAAATCAATGTATTAATAAACTACATATATCTGCAATTGGTATTATTTTATATCTTTACGCTGTGTCATTCTAAAAAATATTCTTGAAACAAACACTTGTATAATAGGAAAAATGTTTTGTTTCATAAACCAAAATTTTGCTGTAACAAAATAAAATACTTGATTAAAATATACCGAACAAAACTGTTTAGTTGGTATAAAATATTTTTGTAAAAAAAAAATGTTTTTGTTATTTACAAAGCAGAAAAATATATTTCGCAGAGGCAATTAAATTTTTTTGTTATATAAAACAAAATATTTGGTTGTTAAAAAATACCCTGGACTAAACAGTTTCGCTGAAGATATTAAATTTTTCTAATATAAAAAAATATATATACGTGTATCGCGGTTTAAGGCAAAAAATTATAAAAAAAAAAACGGGAATTTTATTCATGTCATGTTTATTTCTTGTTCATTCTTTCGGTACACTCGCAGTTACCACTATTGCACGTAGCAGTATTCGATGGCTTGTGAGCTACCATATTCCGCGGTATGTTGTCGCATCGTCGTTCGATATGGACGGCGGCGGCTGCATGCACGACGACGACCGTCAGTGCAAATCGAGTGGCTTTCTATCGTCGCTATCTTTACACCCACCACCGATATGGCTTCCCGTAACAGTAAAGTATCGATATCGCTAAAAATAACCGGAACGTATGTATGATCTTCGAGGCCGAAACTATGTACACGGTGCAGGATCCTGAAATTCGCCCAGAAATGTTCCATCGTCAGCGCCATGCGATTTTGAACGATAGAGACTGTAGGAGTATAGTTGCCACCTTGCTCTGCGATTTTACGATCGCGGGATAATGTCTTTTGAACGACGCGTTCGATCGATAGTTTGCTGATTTTTAAAGATTTGCCGTATCCTTCCCAAGCTTTGTAAATTCGATCGGTCTCGCAAAATGATACGCACTCAATATAACAATAATGTATAACAAGTTGCGCGTATCCTTATTTAAATAAAGTTATGAAATATTTCTTATTCAGATAAAAAAAGAATGAACTGCGAAAAGCTGTCATATGATAAATGAGAAAATATATAACATTGTTTTAGGAAAAATCTTTTATTTTGAAAAATTAATATTTGTAATTACCTAAATTGTTTTTTCTTTCTTTTAACTCTAATCGTAGTTATGCTCGCGGATCCAGTGTAACCAGACATTTTCTTCAATTACATTATGAAAAATTGTTTATAACGAATATTTTTCACAACCTTCATTTTAAGTTAATCTTATTTCTCGGATTTTGCTCTCTAAAATGGGTTTGTATATATTAGTTAGACAAGTTTTGGAACGATATTATATAGGGTTAAAGTTTCAAAAATTCTCTATATAATCTAATTGTAGTATTAATAAATTCTTCTTAGGAGAAAAATAATACAGCGGTGTAATTAAATAGAGAAAGTGCACGTGATTTGAGAAGACACCTGCGGCGATATCATTCCGTAGAAAATATCGAGAGGTGGATAGATGATCGGCACGTGATCGCAGTGCGTTATGCATTTGTGGAATTGGGTCCGCAGGCGACGTGTGGCTCGCGGCTAGAGATGTCGAAATTTAATAGGATATTGATACTTTTATTTTTTGGTTTTAAATACCGCAAGTATCGACATTTTCTATAACGTAGTAGATATTTCTCGTTCATAAATGTTGATATTAATGCTCATGATATGTACACAAGAAAGGTGAAGACCTGCTGAACAATCGAATTTAAACGAGGACAAAGCTTCGATATCACGTCGATCTTATCCTTTAGCTATTTTCACGCACAATTACAATCATCGTTTTTAAAAGTATTCAATGCAGAAAGCAAAATATTGATACTGTTCGTGTTTTATTTCGCGCGATAATTAATTCAATCCAATAACGTTCGACTTTATTCTCAATTTACCGTCATTTTCGCGATTCTACGGGACGTGATCTCGCGACGGAAACGACCTCCGTCGAATCGATAGTCCGCTACTAATGCTCGTATGGTGAAACTTGGAGGGCTGAAGCGCGCCGAGCCGAATCAATTTTCGGATACCGAAAACCCGTAATAGCTCTTCGAAGATTCCCGCGGAGAAGTTAAAGCGGGGCTCTAGCTGAATTTGCGCAAGCGAAGAGACGAAACTCGTGACGTACGGCTATTAGGAATCTCTCTCGCTGACGAGACTATCCGGAGATAAATACCGAGCCTCTTTTCCTACGAGCATCGTATTAATAAACGCCGTTGAGTTGACGGGTGGAAAAAAATAACCTCGTCGCGATTAGCGATGCGACGCTTTTATCGACGACGTTGCATTAAACTTCGATTTCAGAGTATTTCGAGGATGCATTTCTTTTTCTGCTTTACGTACCGCCCGCAAAGTTCTAATTGTAGTTGTTTGTCTTCTGCGTTGTGCGACAAAATATACGGAGTACATTCGGAAATGGTGGGTGGAAGATTTAGAGGCGTATTCTTTTGAGCTTAGTGCATTTTTATTGAACGGCATTTGAAAACGCTCGGTATCTTATTTTATTTCTTTTTTGTGTCGATTTTTTAAAAAGTACTATATTATATTAATCATTTTTGGTAAGGTGAGTTTATATTTTCTTGAAAAAGAGCGATGACAATTCTTTTTGTCTTGTTTATTGCGACGATATGAATTATAGATTGCATCTCATAAATAATTTTTCTTACATCTTTAATATCAGAGAAGGCGAGGCACATTATTATGCATGAAAACTTCTCGCGATTCGTATTATCGGATAGCGATCGTTTCAGTTCGCTGAATCATGGCGATCTTAAAGTCTGCCCTTTCCACGTTAACTAAGCTCCTATTTCCCTGGAAGCAGCAAATTCAATTTTCGCCATTCGATAATCATAAATACCAGACTCGAACGGTTACATTATAAAACGGTGAACTTGTTCGAATCTATTGGATAATTATCGTGTAATACCTATACCTAGAGGGAATATCAAATTTAATCGACATCGATTTGTGCAGTGGCACTTTGTACCACCGAAGTTCAATGCGAATAACCACGATATTAATCTCATTAAGATAAATTATAGCTTATCTTAATTATCAATATTAATTTTAGCTTATGACGACAGAAAAGCAAATTTATGTATTACTCGTTAAATATTTTTACGAAAAGCATGCCATTTATTCATGAAGGTACAGACAAAAAGTATGAATGGGAACTTATTATTATGTTTGTGTGTGTGCTGCGTAAATATATTTCAAAACTACTTTCAAAGTTAAATTTTATCTGGTTATTCTATTAAAACTTTTCATTTGTTCACATGTAATTTGACGGATACATGAGAATAAAGCACTTATCATGAACAAGTAGGAATGGATTCCGATCAGAATTATTTCGTTTTCTCTAGGAAACACAATAGAAATCTAGGGAATAATTGAATAATTCCGATTGGAATTCATTTCGAATAATTCCGTAATACGTATCCAGTAGTAATAATAACTATAATGTAATTCCGAACGAAAAGGCAATACTGATCGAATTTTTTAAGCAATCGGAAACTAGTAATTTCAGTACGTTTTCGTACGCAATCGGATCAACCGTGTCTAATGCATTCTTATTTAACGACTGAATTTCTTTGCAATATTTGAGAAGGCATATTTTTCCGTTATACATAACTTGTTTCGTACTTTTTAAATAAAATATTTTTATACTTCGAACTTGTCGTACACGCAAAGAATGAGAAAATAATATCGGTAAGTTCGTATAAAATCACGAGGGATTATGAACTTTGCGCGACACACTGAATATGGTTAACTTTGCGGAACTGACGGTGGATTCATTAGACTTACTCAATTATAAATCTCTTTATCAAAAATGTCAAACAATTCAATCTTCTTTATTTTACACGGAAAATAAAGAAAAATTTGGATTATTCTTATTAAAATGTATTTAGTATTAATTCTTTTTATACGAATTTAGTTAGCATAAATCAAATGGATTTTACAGACTCAACGTCAGGAACTGCGTTACAGATCTTGGCATCGACTTGCGAATTCAACAGCTGGAGTGTTTTTTATACTCCAGCGGAAAAAAAATGGAAATTGTTATAAAATATTGTTTTGTATCGTTTAACATATTTTTTTATCTGATTTAATAATTATTCTTTTCGAATCTTTAAATATGCAATTCCATTGAATTCGCAATAAAGAAGCATTATATTAATTTAAAACCTTTGTTTTAAAAAAATATTATTACAATGTAAGCTACTTAACGTGCTTTTATTTTATTTAATATTTGTTTCTACTTGTTTTTTTCAGAAAATTGTGATTAAATTCGTATCATTAATATTCCCAAATGCTAATATAAATTGGAAAATAATCAATAACATACAATATGTTATTAATGATAGTAATTTTAATTGGGGTGTAAAAATATCCTGGATGATCATTTATGTAGAAAAATCATGTGACCGCTCCCGGATTAATTAATATAAATTAAATGGACTTGATAGATTGAATAAATATGTTACAAATTTTCAGTTCAGGTTCGTAGGGGGTTAATGCGGTAATGTCGAACTAATAAAATTCATACCTGAGGATAGGACTCTTCTTGATACGGCGTCCTGCGATGGCACTCGTCGTAGCACCTGGCGTCGTAGCCACTGGGCGGCCGTGGGTACGGGTCTTGCGCCGCTACCGCAGCCGCGCAGCAGTCCGGGATTTGCGCCTGGTAGGTCTCGTAGGGACACTTTTGATCAGGCTGGACCGGTCTTGGAGCTTGGTGAACGCGCTCCTGCGGCCCGCCTCCGTAACCGGCGCCGCCGCCGCCGCCGCCGCCGCCGACACCGCCACCTCCGCCACCTCCACCGCCGCCACCGCTACCGCCACTGCCACCGCCACCGCCACCGCCAGCGTGATGCATCGTCGTCGTCCACTCCCGCGGACCTCCTCTCGCCTGACCTCGCACCACACCACCACCACCCTCTCCCGATCACTGCATCCTAATGCTGCGTGGCGCGCGATACGCGATCGAATCCGCGGCCTCGGCGAGCCTTGTCTCTATCGCGCGGCCCTCTTCGCACGGGTCCATCCTCACCACATCTAACTATACCTTAATCTCTCTCCTTCTCTCTGCGAGCATCGGGTCCTCTCTAGCCCATCTTCTACCCGTACCTGTGCAATTATTGGCGTATGAGAAGTTTACGTGCGGGAGGTATGTATTCGCGGGTACATCAATTCGTCAACTGGAAATGTGCACCGCGAACGTCGCCCGCATTCGCGCCCGACTCGCGCCCGACTCGCGCCTGCATCCCACTCGAATTAATGCACCGCATTACAACCCGGACTGATGTAACTCTGGGCCATCTGTATCCTCTCTTAACTGCCGAAAGTAAACCGCCGGGTCTCTTCTTTACCTACTTTGCGCGCATATCCACGAGTTAAGGTGGAGGGGAGGGGACGTTTTTTACGTTATTTACTCGAGCTCTTTTAATCTTAGTCCCTTCGGGCGCTTTTTCAGCGTCGTCTCGTAGCGTAAGCTTTTAGATACTCGTACTCGCGGAACGACGATGCTCGATCAACGTGCCAGACTTGATCCACTCATTGATCTTCTCTGACCCCTTGTCTGGCGAAGCGTACGGTGTGTTGCTGTGTAAACTAATGAGTTTGCAAGGAGTAGGATGAAGAATCGATCCTCTCTGCAATTTTGACACGCTAAGAATGCTAATGCGCAGCGCCGGCCATTTCGTAAGCTGCTTTTGAGACACGTGACGGTCTGTTACGGTCAACAGACATCGAGTACGGTCAACGTGACGTTACAAATGCTTTAAAGCGGTTTTTGATTAATTAATTGTACAATTCTTTCTTCCAATTAATCACCAAAAACGCTTCAATTAAAGCGTCTGCAACGAGACTTTGACCGCAGCCAACGGTGACGATATTCCTTCATATACACATGGATTTATGGTGTGCTAACTTCATATGATCAGAGTATTTACTGTAGTCTTGTAAAAAGATTTTTGCAGAATTTTTCAGATATTTTTATTCAAAATTCCAGAGAAGTTTTTAATGCATCCTTGAAATAAATTGGAATGTAAGCTAACTATATTATATATTATTAAAGGTTATTATAGAAAACAGGTATTCCGACGAGACTATATTTATACTTTTTACGATTGGTACCACAACATCTATATAGGATATAGTATAGGCAAGCTTATTATATACAAAATAGTTAAAATACTTTATTGTGGTGAGCATTGTCTTCTACTCTGTCACCCTAATTTATTTGATAAAAACTCGCGAGAATATACACAGATTTAACAAGAAAAAAAAAATGTTTTCAGGAAAAGATAGAATTGTTTAAATTTAAAAGTACAGTAATTTAAATTCCAAAAATTTCCCTGAGTCTTGATTACATGAAAATCTCTAATTTTTAAGAAACAGAGACATCTCTTGGAAATTTCAGGCCTTTTCTAAGAAATAAACATTCTAATATACTAATATTACTGGAACGCTCCCTCATTACCTAAATGTAAAAATCAAGAAGTTTTCAATAATAAATTTCTGAAAGTATTTAAAGGTAATTTAAAAGGAAAACATAAGAAATATGCATTTATTATTTTACTAAAGATGATTCAAATTTATATAGACTAACTGTCAATTGAGATCAAATGCATTCTTATTTCTATATTTTAGATAACAGAGAGAACAATATTCTCATTTTAGTTTAAAGCATTGCATATATGGGAAAAGTAGCAAGTATTAGCAATCCATATATGATATCGAAGGAAGATATTCTGCCTATAGATATTCATACCTGATCCGCGATGAATTTCAAGAAGTTTATCTGGACTATTTCTATCGAAAATCCATCCGTCTTATACGTGAAATGAATTTTGTCTCTTTGGAAACCACATGTACTTTCCTAATTTAAACTTACAACGTTCGTTGCGGTCTTCGTGCTGATACATTCTCGTTATAGATCTCGGATATATTGGTTATGCGCAGGACTAAGTTGGATGAAGTGTCTGTGCATGGACCGTAATTAGCGCCTCTTAATTTATCGTGTAAGGGCCATACAAGCGCGCCCGAGTGAAACTTTGATGCAACGATAGAGCAGCATATTAGGCGAGATCGTGTAAAGACCTAACGTGTCTATTTGGGACACGTTGGCATGTCTTTGCCGCGGCTTTCGGATATGTTAATCGCAAAAGGCGCACCGGATCGATCGCCATATTTAGAACAACTATTCTGCTCCCATTTTCCTCTGTTCGAATAGTTACATGTAGCTTGATTAGCTTACGAAACAACGATGTATGATTTAAACTTGCATGATGTCTGAATGACGCAACATACAAAGAGGAAACACACAGCTATGCAAAATGCAATCCCTATATTGCAATAACCTGTATTTTCTTTATTATTGACATATAAAAATATAAGTGATATATAATATTATCTATTAATAGTTAATGAGAAAACATCTCTTTTTAATATAATAATTTACCAAGAAATACGCCAGTATTTGCCAGTGCAAATATGAGTGGATAAATACAACTGAAATCTCTAGGCATATTGTTGGACTTGGAAACTGAAAAAAAAAAAAATTATATATATATATAACGCATGTGTCAACCTCTGGTATAGAAACGAAATATTTAGTTTCCGTTCTGCTTGTTCACAAATAAAATATTTCATTTTTGTTTTTATGAACTGAAGTGAAAAAAACCTTTTAAAATAAATTTTAAATTTTTAATGTAATTTAATACAAAAAAATTTTGAAATTTAATATAAAAAAATTTTGTGCGTTTTACAGAGAACGAATGCTCCTGCAATTAAATGTCGATGGAATCTCGTGCCGCGCGCGCGTTAAATACGTGATATTTTAAAATTAATTAAATAATATCATGTAGTATTTAAAATTTATTTGATTATAACAAAAATGACATTATTATTTATCTCTTATTATAAACTGATTAAAACCTCGTAATTAAAATAATTATTCTATTTCCGTTTTTATTATCAAGATTACAATTAATATCGTTATTATCTCGGTTTAATATTTGATCGAACTACCCACATGATGCCGATATAAACTAATATATTATTCACCATTATAGCTATAGATAGCAGATCGATTAGATACTAGCAACATTATATCGGCAATTATTGCCTTTTATGATCTCGATTATAGAGATACTTTGTAGGTTCCTGTAATCCGAACTTAATCCGCATATAGTATCTATAAGATGACGTCAGTACTGCATTTAATTCGCGAATCGTTCTATAAGATATTCATCTAAAATCGATCTTAATTGATATCAATACGTGTGTAATTTTTTATTTCTTAACTACATTATTTTTGAAGTATATAATCGTAATTTGTATCCATTTAATAAATTAACAGAGATATAATTTATTAAATTGTTCAATATTATTTAAAATTAAAAAAGGAGCGGTGGAGAAATACATATATTGTAGAAAATAAAATGTTAATTTTAACTTAAAGACGTATAGTGGACTTTCTGAGACATGCAAAAATATTAAAATTAATATTTTTGTGTTAATTTTAACATTTTTGTATGTCTCAGAAAGTCCACTATACGTCATAAAGTTAAAATTAACATTTTATTTTTTACAATGTATAGTAATTGTCGCGTATAGTTGCATTTGAAAAACGAGTGTATCTAATATCCTGATCTATAAATATGCTAGAAAATAATTTTAAATAATTTATAAATAATAATTACAAAAGCTAAAGGTATCTCTGTAATTGTTTTTATATGAATAAGAACCGGTTGTTCCATCTTTTGGTAAATTTGACCTGTTAGGTAAATCTCGCAATCTCACTGATTCTAAATATTATATATGAACCAATCACATTCAAGAATCTTACAAGATGCAAAATTTGCTTTTTTTGTTGAATCTAGTCACATACATCGCGAGGTCTTTTTGCAGAGATTCAGGACGATCGGCAAGGCGAATTTTTGCGACTGATTCTCAAAGTAATCTCATTATTATCCGCAACATCTTAGTTCTCACTCGCGCTGAGGAGCACGTTTCGAGCGTTCGTGTGTCAGAAATCAGAAATCTCTCCGCAAATACTTCGGAAGATATCAGCGGCGATTTTCACCTCCGTTGTATCGCAGACGGCATAACTTGTTTCGACCAACAAATGCGAACGTGCTCGGAACTGCGAATCCGTTGGCTCTCTCGAGTGAATTAGACGCCGGGAAGATATCGAAGGAAAATTTTTCACGGTGCAAACGCGGATTTCAAAGAATTTAAAATACAGTCCCGGTATACAGAGCTTCCCCTCGAGCTCTATTCTTTTTTATTACTGAGGTAGAAATGAAAGGAACATAATTGCAAAGGTAATTTGGAGCATTCTTAATTCTCAGTTTAACTACTTATTTTTTAAAATCGTTTTTTTATCCTTTAATTAACGATAGATATAATTTTGGAATATTTTTTTTAAACAGAAAGAAACATTAACTTTTTTCTTTGATATATTCATGGAAACAAAGGGTTTTTCGTGAATTAACAGTTAAATAGAAAAATTTTTCTCCCATTTACATACTTTTTTGCTGAGTTTTAATTTTAGATTTAAACATATATATAGGGTGTCTCTAAATTCTCGATTCAAAATACCGTAGCAAAAAAGTTCTCGAAAAATTAAATAAAAAAGTTATTTGTGAATATTTATTTTAACCAATAATTTTTGAAATATAATAAGGATTTAACTCATAACCAATTACATTTAAATAGCTACCTATCCATGAGTTGTGCGTGCGGTAATATTGGACTGCCCAAAAAGTTTTCTCGTTTTTGCTAGCAAGTGGATATTAAGTTGTTTTAGGTGTAAACACTTTTTTAGCAAAGGCATTTATAACCTAATAGTTTACATATCAATTTATAACA